ATATAATATTATATATTGCAAATACTTAGCACCAAAAGTAAGGAGATTTTAATGTTACCGATTATTATTTTTTTGGTTGGAACAATGCTTCATGGCTATAAATCGCATACCGTTAGTCTTGGTGCCACGTCTGTTAGGAAAAAGCTTTGTTGAGTCTTTGGGTTGCGCCCATAAAAAACTCTGCCAAAGCCAAACAGCGTTTTCTGCTACAGATTCTTGTTTAGTGTGTTGTTTAAATTCTAAAGTTACAAGACATGTTGGCAATTTAACAGTGTTGGCCTCTGTAGCATGTGGAAGAACCATACACAGCCACATGTTCTACTCGGTGTAGTCACACACTGCTGTGGGGTGCTGTCCCAGTCTTCAGCTAGAATTTGTTGCAAGTTGTGGTTGAGTTGGTCACTCTGGAATGGACAGCTGATCCCACAGGTGTTCAGTGGGGTTGAGGTCAGGACTGTAGGCGGACTAGTCCATCCTCTCCACTACCAAATTATGGGGGTAATCCAGGGCCGCCCCTTGACATAGGTAGTATAGGCAAATGCTAAGGGTGTCGTCCATCCAGTGGGGGATGAAAAATATATATTTCATAACTTTATCAGAGTATAGTTGATTTAATCTGTAGAATAATCCCTGATCAGGTTTATTCTGCATGTTTCTCAGCTTTGTTCCTACATGAGGTCTTATATGGTGCAGACGATATTTCATGGTAAAAGTCTCATGATGGAGTGAAGACTATGGTGCTCTGTGTGTGTTTATAATCAAAATAAGGATAATAAAAGTTTCAGTTCGGATCTCAGATAAAGTTTTAGGTTAAAGTCTGGTTTTCAGTGTTCTACCTTCATAAAATGTTGATTAACTCATTAATTGAAATTCTCTTTGGAAATGCAGAGTTCTAAGTAGATCTTTTACAAATTTTTCTGAGGAAGTAGACTCCTGGACCCCACCTAGAACTGCTTCAGTCCACAGCTGCTGGTTAAAGGTGTTCCTGTACCTGTTGGCAAGTATGAGGTAGATTCTGGCATTCTGTTTCAAATAAAATTTTAAACTATTTTAACTGTACAACCTGCTTTTTAATGAAAAAAAATAATCCCAAAGACAAAACTATTTAATTTGGTATGTGAATGGATGTAAAACAGTGAGATTTAGAAATTGCGCAATGGGCGCCAGCTGAACCCTGGGCTAGTCTCTGATAACCCCTGACCTTTGGGGCTTGTCATCTTGGAGGACAGAGTTTGGCCCCACGTTGCAGATCTAGCATTGCTCCTGGTGGCTTCCAGTTGCTGACAACTAGGTGTCAAAAAAGCAACTAGTTGTCGACACCTGTGGAGCTCAAAACAAGCTGTTTGACAATGGCAGAGAAGATTTGGCAAGTGTGTGTGGGAGCGGGAGATTTGGCTCAACCCACAGACTGAACTCTGCTGCTCAACCAATGAATGCATTTTCCTATAACAAATGTGGCAATAAACCCCAATGGTACACGATTTATCGCTAAGAAATATTCAAACAAATTTCCTTATGTTTATTGCTAAGTTTTTATTCAAAAGAAACATGCAGTCGTAACATCTGTAACAAGTTTATATTGTATTTTTATATTCTATTTTGTACGCTGAAGAATAACATTAAATGACATTTTCAGACGAGAGGAACTATGCCTTGTTATGGAAAAGCAATTTGTGACGTGTGCCAGCGGTATTTTTTTTTTCTCGATGTCCTGATAAACTGGAGTTTCTCTGTTTTTAACTTGTGAGCCTTCGAGATGAGCATTGCTTGCCTTCTGTGCCTTTTTTGTATACAACAAGTGTGACAATTAACAGTGTAGTTCAACATTAATCTACTTTTCAGTGCCAAGTGTACTAACTGTTACCACTTCTGTGATTATTAACCATTTTAATGGTACCTGTCTCTGCTCTAGATTCCTTTTTTAAATAAAAGTGTGTCTTAAAAAAAGAAGATAAACAAAAAAAATGTTGAATGAAGTGTTGATTTTTTTTTTTTTACTTTTACCTGAGTAATAACTCTTTGTTCACTATTAAACTCTTAGTTGTTAAACTAACAAACTTTGGTGCTTTTTCCTCTGTAGCTCTTAATTATGCAAAACAGCTTCCTTTCTGCATACTAATCACTTCAGGGATTTAAAAAAAAAACAGCAAGCAGACACTTTAGCCAAAAAGCAAGGGAAAAAAGGCCAAACTGTGTTTTTCCCACTTCTTTTCTTTCTGTGTTCTTTTTTTCCCCCCTTCTTCTCTCTGCAATTCAAGTGGACATCACACACATCCAAGTGAGGGGAGAAGAAAACACACGGCTCACCATGGTTTCTCACAGGCATGCACATGTATTTTGTGTGTGTGTGTGTGTGTGTGTGTGTGTGTGTGTTCTGAAGGATGAGATGACTGGGGAATTGAAGGAAAATTGATTGTGCAAGCTCACCCCAGAACATCTGCAGAGTAAATATTACACTGGATCACTGTTTTCCTTAAGTATCGGGGGGAAAAATATATGCACTTTTAGTTAAATATCTGTGAAATTTCAGCTTGTTGAGTTTTACACGTTAAGTTTAAAGTGAAAATGTAAAAAAGTTTCACACGCACAAAAAAAAAAAAAAAGAATCGCACGGGTCTTTTTTTTTGTGTTGAATGCAGCAGTGGGTGGCTCATTCGTCCTCTCCCTGCCCTTCCTGCTTTCATTGTAAAGTTGGGGAGGGAGGAAGAGGGGGTGGGGGGCGGTTGATATTGAACTTCAGGCTTGGAGTTGGGCCTGCACTGTGGCCACAACCCCAAACCCCCTGATCAGAAAAGGACATAATGTGACCACTGCTGACAATCCTCTGGACAGGAAGAAGCCGAGTGGAAGACAGCAACACAGGGAGGGAGGGGTGTAAAAGAAAGTGTGTGTGTGTGTGTGTGTGTTGAGATGGGTGTGTGCTCTTGTCTGTGCTTTTCCTGTTTTCACTCAAGTTTTGTGCCTTTTTTTTCCCTCCCTCTCTTTTAAAATCCTTGCTCTCCTGGAATGAAACACTCTTAAAGCAGCTGGTAATGTATTCTGCAGTCAGCTCTCAGCACTGCCAGCAAACCAGGGGCCCCGGGGCTCCCACACCTCACAATCAAAATGTCTGTGGGAGGAAAAAAAAAAAAAAGTACAAAAATAAAAGATAAGAAGACAGCGAGAGGAAAAGGACAGGTTGATTTAAATCGCCGTGTACGCACGGCGTTCTCGACATAATGAGCAGCTCCAGATTTCCTCTGCTTGGTAAATATTTGATGAGTGAGTGGCGCAGTGATTTTTTTTTATTTTTTTTGGAGCTGAATAACAGGAGTCCCATAAGCTGCAGGGGAAACGGCTTTAAAAGTTGTATTTCAAACCCTTCTTTCTCTCCCTTGTCCTCTTCCCATGTAAATAAGGCCAACTCCCCCTGACTCCACACACCCCTCTGAGGCAGTTTAAAGACCCTACACTGTCTCCTTGTCTCCTTGACTACCAGCTTACACTGGGGTCCTGTTGTGGCCTCTCTGTCTTTTGTGTTTGGGGGGCTCGGAGAGACCCAGTGAAAGGAAGAAGCGAGGAAGGAGAGGATGAAAAAGTTTCTGGGGGGAAAGAAAGAAAAAAAAAAGATAACAAAGATGACATCACAGCTATTTCATCCCCACAACTGAAAATGTGGCGATGATGATGATGATGATGATTAGCCAGAGGCACAGAATGGGTGGCAGCTCGGTCTGAGAGCGTGAGTGGATAGAGGAGAGGGAGGCCCACAGCTGAATGGGGCATTGTGGGAAAGACAGTGGGCACACTGGGCAGCAACACAGAGAACACTAACTCACACATCATGCCAGAGAGTCTGAAAACACCCACACCGGGCGACAATGGCAAACTTCATCGCTCCGCTTGGCCCCCTTCTCAACACACACACACAATGGCTGGACCCAAATAAGATGCTCTGTTATTTGTGAAATCCAACACACTAAATTCCTTCACTGCCTCTGTCCCTTTGACCGGCAGCAGATGGCCGAGGGCGAGCCACAATCGACGTGCACGCGCGAACGTGCCTGTGTGTGAGCCCTGACTCCTGGTTGCATCATAACTTCAAAAAGGTACCTGCCAGGGATCACATGGGAGCTGATCAATCCTCCACTGCCCAGACTGCACACAAAATCACTGTTTTAACTTATATTTCATTGTCCTGGACCAAACTGAAGTAAATCAGTAATTAAATCAGACCTAATTAAAAAGAAGGCTGAGAAGCACAAGATTGGCCCTTTCTTTTACAACTCACCTGTTTGGCTCTTTGCTGCCACCCTGCGGGAAATCTGAGGAACTACAACTGGATCGAGAAACAAGGTACAACAGGTGGTTGAATTACGGTGTGAAGTGACACTACAGGCCTTTGAAAGTTTAGTTAAGTAATAAACATTTAAATTCTCACAATGGCTTCAGGCTGTGAAACTTATTTAAAGGGGCAATATAATGTAAAATCAACTTTTTGAGTTTTATATCATGTTATAATGTTATACTCTCATGAAAAAACATGACCAAAAGCCTTGCTTTGACTCATTCATATACAGGTGCTGGTCATAAAATTAGAATATCATGAAAAAGTAGATTTGTTTCAGTAATTCCACTTAAAAAGTGAAACTTGTATATTATATTCATACATTACATACAAACTCATATATTTCAAATGTTTATTTTGTTTAATTTTGATGATTACAAATGACAACAAATGAAAATCTCAAATTCAGCATATCAGAAAATTAGAATCTTGTGAAAAGGTTCAAAAT